ATATATATATATTTTATAATTAAGGTATATTTGAATTGTTTTCTGCTTATTAGTATGTTCTGTGATTAGCAGATGGTGTTAGGGCCTATAATATGGACTGCTAGTATTTGTTTGTAGCAAGTATTTCTTGCCTTAATAGGTTCTACATTTGGTTTGCAGATGGATCTATGGAATTGGTATTTTACCTGATATACAGAATGAATTAGATGAATATAATTTTATGTTTTGATGAAATATTACTATATACTTTATATTATATAATGAATTTTTATAACTTTGACTCATGCCTTAGCATACAGCTTGTTTATATTGTATCTGGTTTACTGTTATCAATTGTTGTATTGGATTATTGTCTTATCTCATATAATTTTTGTCAATTTTATTAATGAAGTGAACCAGAATTAGAATTTTTACATTTATTGTATCCGATGTCCATTTGTTTATGTATGTCCGCTTTATATTTTATAATTGTTTGCATGTATGTTTGTTTTGTTTTTGACATGTTTCAATTAATTATTGTAACTTAAATTTTGATCTTGTGACTCCTATGGCTTGTATTATGCCTGTATCAGGATCAATTAGAAAGTGAAATAAATGGAATGGAAGTGTGACAATTAAGTTCCCAAACTGAGGCAATTAAAAAATGAAACAAAAAAGTTAACCTGCTTCTGCACAATGTTTACATCGCTCATGTATTTGTACAACAAATCAAAATCCCGAGACAACGCTTCTTCCTGTATCACCTTCAGTTCCCTCATCACAGTATTCTGGATCGATGAAACGACCTTGAATCTCGTCCCTTTCATCCAATTTTTAATTGAGGGAATAGAAGAAAGTCAGCCAGTGCCTAATAAGGGGAGAAGAGTGGATGCGACAACATGGGGATCCCTTGTTTCGCCAAAAACCCGGAGACAAAGCCCAAAACATGTGCCGATGCGTTGTTGTGCAGAAGGTAGCAGGGCTCACTTTCCTGAAACTCATGCCTAACGCGATGAAGTCAAACAACCAATCTCTGAATCACCTCTTTATGAAGTTTATCGTTTACGGTCTGCTTTTCCGCCACAAATTCATGATGAATAATACCTTTAGCATAAAAAAAAGTCAACATTGTTTCCACCCATGATTTTTGCATTTTCATATTCTGAGCGTCTATATACCATTCATGCCATTAAACACACTCGTTCTCGATCAACATTTTTCACCATATGCACTTTTGAACATTTCAAACGTTTTAGTGGCTGTTTGCTTTGATTTTACACAAAACTTCATTGCTGCTCTTTGTTCCATTTTGAAACCTTCGACATGACAAGAAAACTAACTTAACCAAAACAACTGTAATCCTCATATGCATCAACCAAACAAGTTGAAACTTGCACATTATATAAATAAACTTTTTAACTATTCCCATTCATCCCTGATGGTTGGAGTTAGTAGTACTTGTGTAATAGCATCAGTTCGGGAATTTTATTGTCACACTGCGTATAACGAGAAGCCAACAATAACTGAAGAGTTCAACCAACAATAACTGAAGAGTTCAACTGGAGGAGTAGTGTAGGCAGAAGCCGAGTGTGTCCAGTCGAAAACAATGATATGTGAAATGCTGCAATAAGTTGTACAAAAAAAACAAACTCTGTGGCCTTTAGTCTGCAAGCGAACTATACCAACCGAGCAACCGCCACTTGTTGACAAAGTTAGTGCCAATTTATGTGGATAGAGAGTGTTGTGTGGTCAGCGCAATGTATTCCACCGGCCATTAATCTCAGTTTTCTAGACCGGAGCCGCTACTTTTCCATTCAAGTAGCTCCTCAATTATCCTCAAGAGGCTGAGTGGACCCCGTTCCAGACCCACTACTTCACAGAAAACCTGGTAGTGCCGAGAATCGAACCCGGGACCTCTGGATCTGTAGCCAGGAATTCTGACCATTAGACCACAGAGGCGATCAATAAGTTGTATAGAAGTCCAATAAATTTGAACATCAAATCTGAAACCCATTTTATAAGTCAAGCAAACCCCTAATATGTGACATTACCATCCATACCAATTTTAGATAGCAGCTCAGTTACTAAGTAAAGTAAAGCTATCCCCGTACCAGGGTGTGAAGGCCCATAGGGTTGTGAGACGTTGAGGGTCCCACATTGTCTAGACAATCGGCTCAAAGATGGCGGTAAGGTTGTCAGCCCTATGCTCTGCCCGCACTTTACTCCCCAGGAAAATTATTTAATTAATTCCTGGTACTCATTTCTGTTAGAGGCTGAGTAAACCCCAGTTCCTAGTGCGGCTGGAAGGATTAGGTCAACTGAAAAAATCCAATGACCTCAACAGGACTTGAACCTGTGACCTTCCGGCTTGTAGCATAGCTAATGGAGCTGATAACTGATGCCTACTGCTGACAAATCATAAACAAACTCTCACAAATGAACCTCACTGCTTGTTGTGAAACATAATGCCATAAAGCAGTATACAAGTTAATTACTACCCTTCATTCCAAATGTTATTGGCTGATTCACGGGCAAAATTTGTATGTTCCTCATGGCAGGAGGCGCACCAGCTGCTGTGAACTAGTCAACTCACTAATAATCCTCCCTGTATATGACAGTATATACATTCTAGGAAACCGAAATTAATGGCTGCAGTAATTCGTTGCGCCGACCACGTGACACCCTCTATCTGCTAATGCTGGCACTAACTTCGCCGACAAGTGGCAGTCGCTTGCAGACCAAAACCACAAAGTTTTGTTTGTTTGTTTGTTTGTTTTCATATGACAGTAAACAGACATCTAGGAAGCTGGATGAAAATATCAACATATGTTTATGAGCAAATATTTCCTTAACATGAAAATAAATATTTCCATATGGTCTGAAAAGCATTTTTTGGATACATATTATTACAGGCCTAAGTATATGTCAGATAGTAATATACAAGTAAGGGTAAAAAAGAAAAAAAAATGGGTAGCAAAAATTGGGGAGATCAATTCCATTGAGGAAGAAAATACAATGATAGACAATCAGCCAGTGGTATGATGTATGTAAGAAAATACATATGAAAGAGAGTGGAGTCATAAAGAGAGTAGTATACCAGACTTCTTTCTGGTTACATATACAAACATCCATGCATGCAAACACACGCACACACATTTTACCTTTCTCTCACATAATTTACATTTCTGCATTATCTGTATATCTGCTTACTTTTTTTGAGAAAACTGCAAGTTACCTGTAAGCTTTCAGTTATAACTCAGTACAATAACAACATACATCTCTAACTGACCGACTAAGTTGTCTGTTTGAAATATATAACAAAATTTAATTATTAAAGAAATTAAATGACATAGCCCTAATGCTACCAAAATAATTCTATACACTTATTACCTTAATTATGCATGAAAACACATTTCAAAATACTTGGCAAGTATGCTGCATTGTTGCACCTGTGTAAAGCTATGTTTCTAAACCCATATACGAGAGAAAGCAGAAGCTCCCATACCCAGCATGCTCCAAAACCAGACACCTCTCCCTTTCCATTTCCAGATATTACTTTTCCAACTTATGAGATTCTTACCATCACTGTATGTTGATATAAATCTCTTTCCCTACTCCTGTGGCTTGAAACATACTGTGCTGGATGTTCAGTTCTCCTTCTGCCATCAATATTTGGATTGCTGGAGTTTTCAAATCTGCCACCAGATGGTATTACTTGATTTTCATCACTGTAATGTAACTGAGAAAGAACTACATCTTCATATTTCTTGCCTGCATATATTGCCCTTTTCTGAGTTTGCCCTGCACTAAGAGATTTTAGTTTCTGAGATTTCTTATGCTCTGACTGCAGAAGATCTTCATGTGTTCTACTGAACTGGAATTGAGACTCAGTCGCTGTTGGATTTGGATATAAACATTCGGCTTTCAATTGCTGCTTCAAAGACCTTCCAAGAATAGGACTTGTTTGCAAATTTCCGTCTTCATCAACACAATCCTCTGTTTCCCTGTGAAATTTATAAGCAATGCTCTCCTGGTCTTGTGATGATGTTGATGGAATTATGTGAGAATAGAATATATCATCATCTTGGGATTCATCACCTTCAAAGTAAGACCGGCTGTCCAAATACTCCATATCATTAGAGCTGGCTTCTGACAAGTTGCTAATATCTTCCACCTCCTTGTTGGAGTACTGCAGCTTATGCTCCCAATCAATTAAATATTTTGGTGGTTTCATGCCAGCATGAATTGTATGATACACTGGATCCAAGTCCCTATGAAAATCACATGACTGTGGCATGCAAGTTACTATTTCATTTCTGCTTTTATGGATAGAAAAAGCATCATGAGGATGAAGAGATGTGCGTGATACACTAGGACTAGATTTTGGGGATGATTTTGGACTGACACACATTGCTTGGTTTCTATTAAACAGTGCAAGGTTGCTCATACTCTTTGCTTGTTTCAGTTTTGCTCTGAGCAAATCTCTTGGCTCTTGACTCAGTGAGACATAGCATGGTTTTGTAGTTTTCTTTATAGGAGGGTCATTGTCATTATCAGTAGTATTGCTACAGTTTTCACTTGATTCTTCATCATTTCGGGAAGAAGGGTAATTGGACAATGCATTAAGGGATTCTTGGCTTGAAGATGGATGTGACTGTTTAATGAGTTTTCTAAATGGATTGTTGGTATCCTTCATAATATCTGTGGTACTGTGCCATGCATTTAATTGACTACCAGCCCTATGATGGAGGTCAATAACTGGAGTTGTACCAGATAGATGTTGTGATGGAAGCCTATACTGTGAACTGGGGGGTTCGATGCTAGTGCAGCGCCGATATTGTGGTCTTTTTGAAGAAAGGGGCTGGTGTGTAGTCAAGTCACCTGTTGAAGCATACTTATTTGATACTTGTGACAAAGATAATTTATGGCCAGAAACTTGATTTGAAGAATCTGAATAATTCATATCAAATGGTTTCGGTGCAAAGGGAGGGACAGGTAACTTTCTTCGCTGCTGCAGTGGCTTCCATTCATGAATGTTGCCTCTCAACAACTGATTGTCAGCTTCACATGTATTCCTATGGACATTTCCAGTTTTATCAACTTTTTCAAGGTTAGAAAAACTGGACCACTTATTTAGAGGCTCAAAATATTTCCTAGGGCTCACTGCTGCTCCTTTCTCAGTATTCAATGTTGGATCTTGACTCATACTCCTGGTTCGAAATCTTCTACGAGCCGAAGAATTCTTGTGTGTTTGGGCCACAGGGAAGTGTCTGAAGTCTGCAACACTATTGGCATGGATGATGCTGGCTTTTGGAAATTCAGTGCAGGTAAGAAATGATCCACCATATTTTGATGGATATTTTAATTTCTCAACAGTAAAAGGATCCACTTCTTTTTGAGTATTAGTGCCTAGATAGGACCCACTGCGGTGGCCACATCTTTCGGAACCATGTTCCAGTGAGTGGTTTAGAAAATCACCTCTACCTTCTTCAATACTTCTCAGTGAATTTTCAGGATCAAAATAAGATGAACTAATAGTGCATTTCCTGTAATGATGACTAGTATGCCCTTTCTGAGATATGGAAGCATTGGTAATACTTCCAGCTTGTTTCAGAGTCAGTTCTGATGGTACTACTGTCTTGGTTGGTTGGTGAGGAGGAAGACAATTCTGTCTCTCAATGGACTGTTGTTCTGATTTTGAGAATGGAACATTTACAAGCCTCTGAGTCTGATTAGGGAGTCCTGGAACATGGTTATGGTTACTGTGTTTGCAACTAACCAATGGTTCTTGCTGATATGGCTTATGTGGCTGTGCACTATATGAGGAATTGTATTCATCTGCACCCCTCTCATTACCTTCTTTGTTATCTTCATGCCCTGTCTGTGTATGAATCATGTTTAATGAGTATCTTTGCAGTGGAGCTGGGTTATGATTGACTAAGAACTTTGGATGATCAATGCTTTGTCTTCTAAATGTTCCATCCTCACTGGATTTAATACAAGTATTCAATGGCAGCGCGGTATTTGAGATGAAACCAAACACATCATTCTGGATTTGAAATTGATGGTTACTGTTACTCTGGACAGTCTGTTTCACTGGCAGCGTGTGTACTCCACTCTCAGAACCAGGGAAATTCGTCTTGGGCTGATGAGGAATAGTCTTCACTTGTGTAACAGTGTCCTGTGTAGTACTTTGGCTGCTGATATTGACAGGCCATACTGTTACTGGCAGAGATGACAACTGCTGTAATTGAAGTGCTGCCTGTTGTACATCAACTATGTTTTCCTGGTTCCGACTGAGATTATTAGATAGGTTACTCTGAATGGTATTATGATACGTTGATTTGAACATCAAGTTACCAGGATCACTTACACTGACTCCGGTTTCCAGTCCACAGTGTGATACAAGTGAATTCCATGTGCCGTCTACAGCAGGTGTCAAGGGCAACTGTCTCTTCCGTGATATAGGTGGTGTACAAAGTTGAAATGTTGCCTGTTGTTCACTCTTGCTGCATGGTCTTATATTTGCATCAGCAGAAGATACGGGAACTGTTGGAAGTTGTTCTGCAGTCACATTTGTAGCAACCTATTTTTTTCCAGCCCCATGAATGAGGTACAGAAATGAGGAGGGAAAGAATCCCCCCCCACAAAATAATAAATAAAAATTAAGAAAAGTAACTGATAAGAAGATATGAATCTACTATAAAAAACTTAACAGATTTGTAATACATGGCACAATCAAATATCTAAAATTCCACTGCTAGATTATTACACACTCATCTTTCCTAAAAACAATTAAAACAATGTAATATTAGTTTCAGCATACTATACTTACTTGCTCTATTACACAGAAATATCATAGTTCTTTGTGACTTTGTTATTGCTCTGCATTTTAACTGAAATATAAGCTATAAATCGCTTCACTTACATGGGTTAATAATGCTGTAGTCCATATCCATACAACCGTTCCAATTCAGTTTTTTTTACAGCAATCTGAACTATATTTTTGAAGGGGGCATTTAATCTGGTTGAAGGATCACTCTACTTCACAAGTAATGAAACTGAATAGATAACTTACATGAAGAGGACCAATGAGATTTATAACACTTTTTAACTTAAAATCAATATTCATGCATATATCTGTATCTTAGCACCTTGCATTATAATACTTGTTTCAATAATGAGACACTTTTGTGATAATTCTGGATTCAACCAACAGCTATATGCAATATTTTGTTACTCTATTGCAATCTATAAAAGCTTACAAGGATGAACACTTATGGCATGAAGTTATCATAAGATCTAATCTGGAAAAACACTTAAAATGATTTAGCAGTTTCTTTCATGTCAAGATAGTTCTTTTTTTGTGGCATGTATGCCAATGAAGCTGTCATATAATGATAAGAAGTGCAACAGACATATCTGTCCATTACTTTTATGTACAATTTTACAGTAGTATCTACCACAAGCAGCCATATTTAGGGTACAGTTTTCATGATTCTGATGATGCATATGAACTGCAATTCCATCTACAATTAAATACTAGATTTAAATGTTTTTAACTTTTAGAGTAACACAGCATACACAATAACAAAGTCCTCAGTTATAATGAAAAGTGTGCCATATACATAACACTGTTACTATGACTACTACAATTACTATAGTTACCATCACTACTACTGTTACTGCTAGCACAATACAAAACACAATGATAATAAATGACAGTAATGAGAACAAAACATTAATAACAATCATAAGAAGGCTTGATACTGTAAAAACAAGGATTTTATTATGTCTGAACAGCAAAGTTCAAAAGAGGGATATGGGGAACCTTAATTATCGTGAAACTACTCAATGACTGTATATAGAGATTAATATCAGATTAAAAACTGGCCCTATATTAAAGTGCAATTTTCAGGTGGAATTTTTTAAAAAAATAAACTGCATGATAAACATGAAACCAATATGTCCTGTGCATCTGCTGCTTAGATATATGTGACTGAATGATAATGCTTATTGTAACTGTAAACAGAGATGCTGGAGGTGTTTTAAATATAAATACAAGCTAACTCCAGCATGTAAAACTGAATTCCAATTAGTGTGATGAAAATGTTAATTTACATAATTAAATATGTGCAATTTTATCTTATTATCTCATGATCTCTGTTACTAAATTACTATTAATATTTCCGTACAGCATTCTACCATCATTACCATACATATATAAGGTAAACAAAAAGTTATGACCACAAAATGAATTCTGTACATGAGATCTGAGATCCTCATAGAGGTACATATTAAGATTATGGTCTTCTGGATTGTGATGTCATGCAGCATGCCAGACTGGTACCAACATTTCGGAGCTGCCTCTATCTCCTATCCTGGACATGAAGGCAACAGATTACTCTGAGAAACTGGCACCTGTCTATAGAACTACACAGTAACAGATTCCAGAAGAATCTCAGAATTCTGTAAAATTAAATAAGAATACAAAGAAAGATACATATGTAAGATTTGAGGCTTTGACGGCGGTGACTATGAAGAAAGCTGTCTTCTGGGATTTGGCACCGTGTATATGTGGTGTTAACCGACGTTTCAGAGGAACGTATCGCCTCCATCTTCAGGGTAGAAGGAAAAATTTATATATATAAATTAAAAAATATAAATTTTTCCTTCTACCCTGAAGATGGAGGCGATACGTTCCTCTGAAACGTCGGTTAACACCACATATACACGGTGCCAAATCCCAGAAGACTGCTTTCATCAAATGTACATATATTTGTGAGTGTACTAAATTAATTTTGTTGGATTTGGGGTTCTTGCAACAGTGGTTATGAAGAGTTCTATCTTCTGGTATGTAATGCTGTGTTGTCAGTTAAAGTTAATGGATGTTTCAGAGCAGCATGTCACCTACATCTTCAGGGTAGAAGATGACATGTTCCTCCAAAATGTCAGTTGACATTCAATGGACTACACAGCATTATATCTCAGAAGTCAGAACTCTAAATTAATTCTCATCATTTCACAAGCCAAAATAAGGTGTGAAAACACTGTACCTATATCTGATGAGGCTAACAGAGGTAACTGACTATATAGTTATAGTGAATATATGAAGGCAAATCAAAAAGTCTTTGCCCTTATTTTTTTTTTCAGCCACAATAATACATATAAAGGGAAATCAAAATACAGTCAGTGTTCTAAGTACCTTTGACTATTTTTCCACATAGTCACCACATCGGTTCAGGCATTTGTCCCATCACACCACTAGTTAGGAGATACTGCTGTTGTAGAATTCAGCCAATTGAGTGTGGAACCACCGCCGGACAGCGGTTTTCGTGTTGTCGTCGGAAATGAACCTCTGGCCTGCAGTCGCACCCGGGGATTCTTGTGGACGATGTGGTTCTCCTCCATGATGACACCAGGCCTCATGTGGCAAACAGGACTGCCACCCGACTGCAGTCATTCGGATGGGAGATTATGGAGCATGCACTGTATAGTCCAGACCTCGCTCCCGGTGATTACGTGTTCGGTCCACTGAAGAAGTTCCTGGCAGGCCAGAGTTTCATTTCCGACAACGACTTGAAAACCACTGTCCAGCGGTGGTTCTGCGCTCAACCAGCTGAATTCTACAACAGTGGCATCTCCAAACTAGTGGTGCGATGGGACAAATGCCTGAATGGGGGGTTGTGACTATGTGGAAATATAGTCAGGGTACTTAGAACACTGCCTGTATTTTTATTTCCTTGTATGTGTATTATTGTGGCTGAAAAAAAAATAGGGGCAAAGACTTTTCGATTTGCCCTCGTACATTCCTGCACAGTGCTTGATGTAAGGAAGACAGGAAGCACAAACATTATGGCAAATCCTACAATATGTCAGCAGCAGCTACTCTACTCTGTGATACTGTAGATAGCAATGCTGTTTTGTACTGAGAGATCCTGAGTGGAAATCTTAAAACAGGTAGTGGCTATAACGACTGAAATTTGTGTGCTTTTTCTTAGTTTCTCTACATAAATGCAGTGATGGTATCTCAAAACAGGTCATGGCTCCTTTCTTTCTTGTCCTTCCAAATTTACTCATAACATCCTGTCACTCAATGCTGCAGACCTTACATGCCTGGAGAACAATTTCTAAAGAAACAAAGATACAGCAGCAAGTATCATACTATTTTTATTTTTTGCATCCTTTTGCATTATAGCATTGAAGTACTGTGGCCATCAACATAACAACAAAGTATATTAATTTTAATAAAACGAATAAAAATATATCAATGGTTTAATCAATTTTATTGTCTCATTCACCACTACATGTTTTGGTCATATGGGCCATATCTTCATAAGTCATTAACTCCCAAGACTCCAACCAGCTTCATACTGGACACATCACAGCAGGCAATAACCAACCCCGTAGTTGCAACAACTGAGAATTCCACTACTTAGTAATCTGCACCTATGATAAACTTCCACACCAAATAACAACTATGACACATTAACAATCAAGTTCCTTCCGTCAAATGTGACACTTTTTTAANGTGACACACTTTACACTCCACCACACACCCAGGATTCATACTTCCACTACGCACCAGCAACTATGTGGTCTGTTCAAAAAGTTTCAGAACTAGTTTCTTATAATCTTTTCGGACAAGCCTGCAACTGAGTGAACCTTATCGCTATCAAAGTACTCCTCTCCTGCATTAATGCACTGCTCTCAATGCTGCTGCCACTTCTGGAAACAGTCCTGGTACGACTTTCTCAGGAATGCATGTAGCTCTATCTGCAAATGTTCTGTAGTCTTTTATCACCTGAATTCTTCATCCTTTCAAAGTGGATTTCAGTTTGTGAAATAAGAAAATGTCTGCTAGAGTGAGGTCAGGTGAGTAGGGTGGCTGAGGAAGCAGTTATATTTGTGTTGGCCAAAAAGTCATGAATCAGTAGTGATGCATGAGCTGGCACATTTTTATGACAGTGGAACCAGGAGCTGGTTCTCCACAACTGAGGTGTTTTTCTCCTGGCATTTTCTCTTAGAATTTTCAGCACTTCAAGATAATACCAGCAATTCACTGTTTGCCCCTGATATAAGAATTCATGATGCACAACACCCTCGATGTCAAAGAAAAAAAGTCAATGTGACTTTCACGTTCGACCTGACCCACCGTACCTTTTTGGGTCTCAGCGAATTTTTTTCCAACCCATTGTGAAGACTGGATTTTCGTTTCCACATCATATCCATAAACCCACGTTTCATTGCCGATTATATTTCTTTTCAGAAATCTTTCATCTTCGCTAGCACAATCCAAAAGTTCCTGATAGATGGCAACGTGACTGGCTCTCTGATCCTGTGTCAGAAGTCATGGGAAAAACTTTGAAACTACCCACTGCATTCATAATTTTGTTGTAAGAATGTTATGACATGATCCTATCAATATGTTGCACTGCTCTGCTATTTCCCACACTATCAAATGACGATTAGAACATATAATTTCACAAACTCGGGCAACATGACCATTGTCACATAACGTTGAGGGCCATCCCAAACGTGGCTCATCATGCGTTGATTGGTGACTATCCTTATATTGCTTAAACC